TGTATAACTTAATAACTTGATTTCTTTGCAAAATTAAAATGATCAAAAAATGTATAACTTACTAACTTGGTTTCACTTACCCATGCACACAATTAATTGACGCTCATCATTCTTCTTGTACCTTCCATGGTAGTTCACAGCAATGTGTCGGAGACAATACCTATGTTGGAAAAGGGTGGTTGCCACATTGGACCCAAAGACTCCATTGTTGCTTTGATCCCAGCTCCGCGATCTGAAATGACATAGATTTTCTCCCTCGTGATAACATGTGCACGTAAGTTTCAGAGGAAAAAAACCCAAAAATCTGTATCTTCTCCTTCGACAAGAGCAAAAACAACTGAAAGAATGTTGCGATTGCCATATTGGACAACTGCCAATAATAAAACTTGCTTGTATTTTCCATACAAGAAAGTCCGTCGATCTGGACCACATGCTTGTAGTATTTGATAGAATTAACGCACTGTGGGTAAGTCCAAAAAACCCGGTAGAATTGGCATCGATCGCATAGAACTCGATCATTATGGTATGCATAGGAGGTTTCGAAGTCCACAATTATCCCAGGATTCAACGTCCACACCAACCTAAACAAACCTGGAAGTTCGTTGTAAGATGCATCCAATTCGCCATGAAGTTTGACAATGACATTTTGTTTTACCAACCAAGCTTTTTTATATAAGACATTGTAGCCATATTGCGATTATATAGCTGAAATCAACACTGCAATAGCTATATGAGAGCTTGCTTTTACCATGGGCATGATGGCTTGGCATATCACTTCATAGTCCAAGTTGATCTTGGTTGACCCCTCCAGCACAACATGTGTGAGGACCGTTGTATACTGTTAGTTCCCATCTGTTGTTTTTCCTCTTCGATACGCGAACCATCCAATTGCATCCGTTTTCGCGTCGGGCACAGTAACATACATATTTTTGGTCGTGGAGCGGTCAACTCTGGACTGAACAGAATTATTGATATTGTAATTTTTGATAGCTATCATCGCTTCTTCCTTACTTGAAAACTCTATGCCTAAAGATAACTCACCATTATTTATTGATGAGTAATATCCATAGTCACCGAGATGAGGCATATCTGCAAATTCTGGCTCGTACATTGCATCATATCAACTTCATACATGTGTGTTGGAGGGTCAGTTTGTGCCACATTTTCTGGAACTTCATCTACATCATCATCACCATCAGAGTTGAATTGCGGTGATTCTGGGTAAATGAATAGTCCAGTCTCAGCACCATTCGCACCAGGCCCACTAAGCGGTTCTTCTGGTGGAGATGATGGTTCCTCCATGCTCTCCACATTTAGGTCGAAGAACCTACTACTAGTACGCCTTCCCCTTGAACTAGAAGGCATATCTGGATTGAGATCGAGAAATCTAGCAGTCGAATGCCTCCCCCTGAAGCTTGAAGTCATCGTGTCAGATGAAAACTGCACAGATTGTTGCGTCGATGGCATCTCCATATTAAGGTCAAAAAAATTGTAGATGAATGGCTTCCCCTCGAACTAGACGCAATGTTAACATACGGATTGTTTGTGGACCCACCTCGGTACATATCGTAAGGAGTTGTGGATGAATGTCTTCCCATTGAAGTTGATGTGCCGACACCATGATGTGGATTTCCCATTATGGCATTAAAATCATTACACATTACTGTAGTCGGGCTGTCAACTTGATCAACTTGTTCAGCCAGCCCATAGTGTGAGCTTAACGGCTAACGCCGAACAACACGCACTTGAACAAACTTTGCATACATCTCAATATCACCGTCAGAATAATTACTTTGAGAATCATCCATCATTTCAACATCATCATTGTTCGATAGTTCGAACGCTGTATAAATTAATGACAACAATGATGTTGGAAATCTGTACTGGAACGACGACATTCTTCTACTACTTCCAACATGAACCTTCCTCGAAATCTTCGTTATCAGCTCCTCAAGAGTTATGTTTCTCTTGAATGATATTTTAACATGTTCATTTGATACTAAAACAATGTCAATTTCATCTTCTCGAATTTCTCCATCATAATAAACAATAGCTGTAAGTCGCGTTATTCTTAGAGTTTAAAAGTGCAACAATATTATATCTGTAAAAAATAACTGAAACAAACCTGATTAAATAAATAATATATGACCAAAAATATAACAGAATAAATTTTTTACACATAAACATAAATAATTTAAATAATATAATTCCATATTATTACCCGCATCACAAAAATATTTCGACGTATGCTCCCACTTTTTAATTCAACAAACACATAAATTAATTGAAAACAATTAGTATAATATTTTTTCAAAACTATAAAATAAATATTATAACAAAATTACCTTATAACGAAAGATCGAACAAACTTCTGAATCAAATATAAGATGATTGTTGGATGTTATTTACTTATTCAAAGGATTGTTGGTGAGAGAGTTTACGGGAGACGGCTATTTATAATCGATAGAGGATGCCTTAAAGCCGAGAAGTTTGGGAAAATAATGCAAGGCGCGGTGCAATTATGAATGTTTGATAATTGAGATAATTGAACAACGCGACCCCTATCCCGCGCCATACACACGTGTGTCCATGTCAGCATAAGGCGCGCCGCAGGGGGCGCCTTATCCCACGTGACGCCAAATCAACGTATAATGCATTGCAGGGGAAAGCCTTAATGCAAAGGGTGTTAGGTCGAGAAATATAGTCTGACCGGTGCCTGATCGGAAATATTAAATTAAAAAGATGATTTTTTTTTGGAAAAACGCCTACAAAATTACTATTAAACTTATCAAATTGTTACAAAAATTTCCTTAAGTTTATTGAAATTTATCACTATTTTATGACACAAAGTGATCATTTTGTAACCGTATAAGTATATTGACCATTTTATAACTTCCCAAATGTAACTGATCATAAATTTCATTTTGACATAGCTTAGTGACTATTTATGTACTTTATTCTAAATTTTATCAAAATGTTGCAAAATTATCATAAATGTATTAACCTACGATTATTATAATGACACGACTATTTAACGCTTACTGATTTTTTTCCTTCAAATTATTTAGGAAAATAGAACTCTAAAAAATAATAAAATAAGTAAGAAAAATTAAACGAAATTCATCCATAAAAAAAAAAATTGAGTACGTGTCACAACAACGATATACGTGTGTGGACATTACATTTAATCACTCAATGAATATAAGTCGAAAAATTAAATTTAAATTTCAAAAGTTAATATCTAATAAACATAAAATTTAAAAGCAATGAATAAAAATGATTATTTAAACACAATTCATTCAAAGTTATTTTAAATTAATATTATTAGGATTAGAAAAAGGGCAAAGTGCACCATGTTTGCTTGTTGTCTAATTCAAAAATCAACCTAAAAGATCCACGAGATTCTGTATGAAAATCTCCACCGATCTTATTTGCTTTCCAAACTGTCAGATTTTCTACCCCTTTATTAACTCACCTTCCCATTGCTTTTTCTCTCGAACCTAACAACATTTTCTTCTTCGCCTTCTTCTTTTAAATCATACATTCGAAAGCTTCAAAAGTGATGGGAATAGCTGTTGAAAAAACCCAGTTTCATGTTCTTGCTGTTGATGACAGTCTCATTGACAGAAATCTCATTGAAAGGCTTCTCAAGACTTCTTCATTCCAAGGTTCCATTTTCTTCTTCATCTTCGTATTCATGAGAATCGAATCGTCGATTGATATTTTCTTTTAATGTGTTTTCCAGTTACTGCTGTGGACTCCGGGAGTAAAGCATTGGAAGTTCTTGGATTAATGATGATGATGATGATGAAGATGAACAAAGGGATTCTGTTTCGTTGGATGAAGATCAAGATCATCAGGATCTGGGAGTGAATTTGATCATCACGGATTATTGCATGCCTGGAATCACAGGCTATGATCTTCTTAAAAGAATAAAAAAATCTTCATCTTTCAAAGACATTCCCGTTATCATCATGTCTTCCGAGAATATCCCATCAAGAATCAACAGGTTCATACCACGAAACCAACACGTTTTCCCAGATTTTTTTTGTATCCAGTGTTTTGAATTTTTTTGATGAATGGATTTTCAGATGTTTGGAAGATGGAGCAGAAGAATTCCTTTTGAAACCAGTTCAATTATCTGATGTAAACAAGCTCAGGCCTCGTCTAATGAAAGGAAGATCTGAAGACATTGATGTTCCCCTGATAGAACAAGGCCAAGTTGTTTGATCAGCACTGGGAATCGATCGATATATTTTATCGGGAAAATTCCTTTTTCTTTTTTACTTTCATTACAAATGCAATGTATATGATTTTAGTTTCTTTTGAAAGAAGAGAGTTGTATATTTCCTTTGTAAATCATTAGCAGGAAAGATATAACTCAAATTTTTTGGTTTAATAACATGATATTTTTCATGTCTGAGTTATTTATTATTTTTCTTTTAAACATGATTCAGATCAAGAATAAATACAGGATTTAGCATTTGAAAGTTTAATTTAATACTAAAAATTTAAAAGCGTAAATTTTAAGATATCAAATATATAAAATTAAATTATTAATAAAAAAAAATATTTAAACTGTATAAAAAATAAAATTTTCCATCTATAAGTCGTACTGTAAGAACTCGATTATAAATTTACTACTTTGTTAATTATTATTTTTCTCTTAAAGACTATTACATGTGAATTAAGTCAAATCATACATAAGATTTTATGCATATGAATTATAAAAAATATATTTAAAAAATTAAAATTAAATCATCATAAAATTATAAAAAATTTAGAACCAAAACCCGAGTCCATGCCTCTATACCAAATGTTAAGGATTCAATTATAGACCTACTATCAAATAATTAGTATAAATATTATATGATAAATAAAATCTTATCTCAACCAGAACTGATCAAACTGAACCGAATAAACCAATAAAATCAGTTTCGATCGTTTTAGTTGGTTTAACCAACTACTGCTTAACCCTAAAATTTCTCACATTTTCTTCCTCTTTCAGTTTCTCGGTTGCCAAACAATCATTGAGCATCAAAATGCACAACCATGTGCAAATATTAAGCAAACCAGAAGATTCAAAGGGATTTTTTCTCAACATACAAAAAATAGTAAATTAGCTTGATTATAATGAAAACAAAAGTCAATTCAAAACTAGACACCTTCCACCCATCAAAACTTACTTCTACGAACTCAAATATTCAACCTAGTTCATCTTACTGATTAGGTCATTGATTTCATCTTCACGATTTCCGGCATCTCCGCCTTCTTTGTATGGCTGTTTCTTCCCTTTGATTAATCCATCTTCTGGCTTGCTCAGCATTAGAGGTCCCATAAAATGAACAACCTCCTTGAAATGTGGACCGACATTCGCAATTTCGTGTACAATGTCTTCTATGCATATAATTCCATACTTCCCCAATGTCTGAAAAAGGAGTTTTGGTTGCAAGGATTAAGAACCTTGGGGGTTAGGACAAAGTTAAAGCTGAAACTTCTTACGGGACTTGGTTACGACAACTATTATACCTGTTCGATTATGTTGTTATCTGTCAGAGGTACTGCTTTCTTGTCGATCCTTGCATATCCCTTCTTGTAAATCAGCTCCTTCACGTTCTTAAGATTAGGATATCTGCATAAAACGATCGTTAGCAATTAAAATCGAAGGTCGTCTATAAATGGCAACTTAAAGAAACAAAAATAAAAGAACTGAACTTTCCAGACGATCCCAGAACTGGCAAACAATGGAAAACTAACAGAATCCTTGTTAAGTTGCTTAAGATTATAGCTAATGATGGTTCGGCCATATGCCTACAACCCTTTTTAAACCTCTAACAATTCTCTAAAGGAAAGCATGTCCAATACATGACAGTCAACAGTTTAGAAAATGCCAAATAACTTGAGGATCATTTGCATGAACTACGGAAATAAGGATGATAATTTGACAAATTCGTCAAGCATAAGCAATGGTTACACATGTCCTATAAGAAGTTGAGGGCTATTAAAGTAGGCATTGATAAAACGACGATACGATATACTAGAGGAAGAAAAGCATCAACACACATGGAGGAACACATTAAAATTTATACAAGTTTTCACAAAATTGGATTCACCATTTTACATTTACCAGGAAAAAGAAAAAGGGGAAGTTGAAAGAAACAAAGGTTGCCTCCATACCCATATGTGACATTCGGCACATGCCCTATAAGAAGTTGAAGGCTATTAAAGTGGGCACTGATAAAATGACGATACGCATATACTAGAGGAAAAAATCATCGACACACATGAAGGAACACATTAAAATTTATACAAGTTTTCACAAAATTAGATTCACCATTTTACATTTACCAGGAAAAAGAAAAAGGGGAAGTTGAAAGAAACAAAGGTTGCCTCCATACCCATATGTGACATACGGTTCCACCTTCTGCAACATCTCCATCACACCCTCACTTGCCTTCACAAAGACACCACTGAAAACTTTCCTCAATCTCAGTTTGTACAAGATCTTCCTAGTTTTTGGATGCATATCATTTTTGCTGCAACAAAGGGAAAAAATCAGATCGAAAATTTTGAAAGGAAAAATATTGAACATGGCCAAGATAAAAAAGGTCACCAACCCTTGAATACGGATGATGAAAAGTAACTTTGACCTCAGTTTTGGTATTGTCAACTTTGGCCTCTTTGCCCTCTGTTTCATTCTGATCAGATCCAACTCCTAAAACCCAAAAATAGATTTAAGATTACCTTAATTAGCTATCTTACTAAGTTGAAGAGTCAGAAATGTGTCGGATACAGATACTTCAAGCAAAATGAAGAGTCCGAGCAACATTAGAAAGTACAACTACAAGGTGCAAGGAGCTGATACAGAGCAACGCTAAGTCCAAATGAGCCTTTTACATTTCAACCTCGAGCTCAGCTTTGAAAAACAGTTAAGCTACACAATACTTGATTAGGATTAACATTATTCAAGTAGGAATTTGAAACTTGACTAGAGCTCAAGTTTGAAAACAGATAAAATGAATCGAATCATATGTATGCATGCATACCACATAAAATAATAAAAATCCAAAATCCATGTTAGGCTCATGGGTTGCTCGATTCAACCGTTAAAGATAAACAAACTTGACTCAATTGACTATTCTACCACCCAAAATCTTGCTGGAGCCCAGCTAAAAAAACAATCAAGCTACAAAAGACTTGATTAGAATTATCATAACCAAAATACTGAACTTGAAACTTGACTCAAGCTAGAGTAAAAACACACAACTTTGAAAACCTGTAAATAAAATCAAATTCCTTTTCGGGCTCATGAGTTGCTGAATTCATGTATTAAAGATATTCAAACACGAGTTAACTCGATCTCTAGCTACTCCGGATTTAACTCAAGCTCCACCTCGAATTTGGAGAAGTGGTGTTTGTGTACTCAACAAGTGCTTTCACTCATATGCAGTTACAAACTTACAGTACAATACTATAATGGACGCCATTACAGTTAGCAGAAGAAATAAAGCAGTAAACTTTGAAAACAATAATTCATAGAATCATATCAACAGCCGATTCAGGAAACAGGAAACGTAATCGACATGATAAAGAGACAACAATTACCTTATCTCTGAACTCTTTTATGAACTGTTCTGGTCTTTTGATGTCGGAAACATAAGATTGCTTCTTGCTTTTCTTCGCTCCATATTTACCCAACTCCAACTGGGTCCTCCTCGTAATCGCTAACTCATCTCTTATTTTCCTTTTTTTCAACACTATCTCCGATACATACGGCAATGGCTGTCCTTCCTCTCCCGTCATCATCTTTCTGTTTTTCATATAATTCTTTTAGAAAAACGGAAAATTTATATATTGGGAAAAAAAATCAGCATTCAAAAAAGAGGCAACAAGAAATTTACTCAGTAAACGGAGTTAAAGTTGGTGGCGCCGCTGATGAACAACGGCGGCGGCGGCAAACGGGTAGAGTATGAAAAAGATGGAAGGGAAATTTAAAAGGGCATAAAAGAATAAAAAAGACTAAACATTTAAGGGCTTTTAGGTTTTTGTGGTCATGTGGGTGTGTTTGTGTTGGCTGCCCCGACCCGGTTTTTCTTTTTGGGAAAATTCCTGTCCAGGCCCAATAAATTTTTCATTTAATCGGCCTAGTCCTTTGGGCCCAATACGAGCCCGATATGATTAAATACATAGCTTATCAATTTTGATTCGAATCTAAACTTATTCTAATAATACGGCTTAATAATAAAAATTATTAAATATTTTAATTAAAACTAAAAATATGAAGAATACATCAACAACAAATTGAACTATTAAAATGAAATACTATATCCCTTAAACAAAAGTAAAATATTTAAATCCTATCATTTGTAAAGTAAATTCATATCATCTTCACATATGCAGTATTGGATCTGATAGTTTGTTAGTGGAAAAAATAAAATATTTTTTAAATATGAAAGATAAATTTTTATTTATTATTATTAAATGTGCATGAATTGAGTTTATACATGACGTGGCAAAATATGATTGATGGATTGACTTTAAAAGAAAAGTCAACAAGTTGAAAGGGCTGTGAAACCAAACAATCAATCATTTTCAACAAACTTTTCCATCAGATTCTTTCCCCCTTCACTCTACACTTTGAGCTCGCTTCCTTCCCACTAATGTCTTTTTCCCCCAGCTGATCCTTCCATTTTCCCTTCGCATTTTCTCGAAAAGAATCCCTCAAACCAAACGGGACCTTACCTTAAAAGCCAAAGGACAAAGAGAATCTTAGGATTTCCCACCTTTTTTTAATCTTTTTTTTCTCTCCAACTTTACTCTCTGTCTCTTTGCTTCAAGAACCTAGAAACCCATTAGGTTTTTCCTAAAGATGATTCAATAGTTTCTGTATTTCTTTGTCTCTTCCGATTTTAGCTCCATTTTAGTTGTTTGATGAAAAGAAGTTGATTTTTGAAGGAAATTTATTTTCTTTTTTTTTTAGTTTTGATTTGCTTGAGGTTTGTTCCCGACGTGGAACGCGGGGTTAGCTTAGCTGCGATCGAGTTAGGGTTTGTTTGAAACGGTTTAATGAGGTTGAAGAAGAGTGAGAGAGGTTTTGATCATGTGTGCGCGGGTGCATTTTAGGGTAGTGATGGATCGGAGTGTGATTGGAGGAATCTATTGTTAGTCGGAAAGGATGGCTGCGGTCAGGGCGGAGCAGTTGAGGGCGGCGGATGTACCAGAGAGGGATATTGAATTGGTATACCTTTGTACTTTGATATTTTCTTAGAATGTTTTAATTATAAAAGGAAATCGATTGGCATGTAATATAGAGTGAATTATGCTATTACGTTTCTCTTTTCTAACGTCTTAGCATGTACAGTGACAATGTAGAAAATAGAAAATTGTTGTTACTATTACTAGTAGCAATGTTGTCTAGATTTCAGATGCAGAACCGTTAAGCATGTTGTTAATTGGGAATTTTTGTTCATTTTTTATTCTGATTGTTGTTGGTGGAGTTTATGGCGTTAGGTGGAATAATTGTTACTTGATACAATGGAAAGGGAAAAGCTTGAGTTTCTCTCTCTCTCTATATGTATGTATATGCCAACATTTGAATGTCAGGGATGTTAATTAGGATAGTGAATATACATATGATAAGGAAACTATAAAATATATCATCAAAATTGTTACGATTGAATAATATCGAAATTAACTGTCATAATTAGCCATAGCTTAGCTGGAGCTTCAGGGTGAAACAAATCTGATGTCCAGAAATATTGTTTCTCTTACATTCTGTATGAAATCAAAACTTCACTGAAATGTGGAGATGTTCTCCAAGTATTATTGTTTTTGATTTCCGGTGAACTTTCTGATTTAAGTTAATGTATGGTATTCACTATGTTTTTTTTATTTTCTTTATTTTAATCTATTTCTTCGTAATTCTTATATATATCCACAACTGGAAATCTTTTCTTTTGATATGAAGTTCAGTTTTCAAGTTGGATTCTATGTTTCAATTCATTTTTTTCATTCTTTTCGTTTACGACAGGCCATCACTGCCATTAAAAAAGGCGCCATTGCTCAAATATGGTCGTAGAGGAAAACCCAAATTTTGCCCCTTCCGGCTGTCCAATGTAAGAGCGAATGCCTTTGAAGATGCATATATTTCTGTTGATAAATCTGCAATTATTAACCATTTTTTCCTGTTAGTAAAAGTCATCTTTGAATGCAATTAGCTCCGCATCTGGCCTACTATTTATTTAAAATGTATCATGATGGGGCTTTCGAAAAGTTGATCATTATTACTTTTTGTGGAAGTTAGATGTCTGAGAAGCTATCATTTTACTGAAAGTGAACAGAAATTCCTTATGTATATACTATACCAGGAAGGGGTGTTAAATGATCTCTTCTTAATGATAGAATAGCTCTGATATGTTTTATGCATATTGGTTCAACAGATATCAGATTACTAAAAATAAAAGGATTATTTTAGCAACCTCAGCATGACTATTTTCCTGAATAAATTAAACAAACTTAATTTAGAAGTCTCGTTACCTAGAATTTCATAAAGCTTGGTGGAGAAGGTTATAAAAATCTAGTCGTATGTGATGATCACCTGAGCTTCCTTTGTGTAAGACGTGCAAGTAAAGTATCTTCTAACAAAATAGTGGCTTTGAATTTTCACTTTTGAGCAACTATTTTTCTTGTATTAACCAGTGCTGGTTTCTCATTAACTAAGTCTGGGGGCTTATGTTGCTTACAAGTTGCAACTCTTAAGTTTTTGATTGTTCCATCAGACCTGTGGTGTATGCATATTGGTACTTAGACCATGCTCTTGTTGTGAGGAAGAAAGGCTCAATTTTAATACAATGGGTAAACTCAAAGCAGGAAAGTGATGATTAAACCTAATTATTAGATTAAATAGCTTTTAATCCTTCCTACCAAGAAAGCCTTAGAATTGGGTTTGAATTCAGTCTTATAAGTAACATTGCAACAGTTATATGTAAAGGCATAAGTGAAAAAATATGGAAATTATTCATGGAAATTTTGTAAGTTGCTGTATCATTGAAGCAATGAACAATTGGAAGTGACCATCAAGCTTGTGATGAAGGGACTTTGTATGAGGGCTGCAATACTTGCTGGATTGCTGTCTCGCACAACTTTTATCTGTTGGTATTTCTTTGCTTTTACTAGATTTTGATGAAGCTTTACGTGTCAATTTTGGTACTATTTGTATGTTACTTTCTTGAGAAAAATATGTGAGGTAATTCAAATGTGCTCACCTGGTAATGGCATTTATTCTGCTTGTGAACGATGTTTTGTTATGACTAGTTGCAAGAAGACTACCATAATATGTCTACACTGAATTTTGCTGGCTGTATTTCATTTCTTTTGTTCCTTTCTGCGAGAACAGTTATCTTGATGTATGCTTCAGCAACCTACTGTAACCTAAAACTTCATTTACCACGTCTTTATCTTCTTCTTCTTTTCAGGATGAATCTGTTCTAATATGGATCTCTGGCAAAGAGGAAAAATACCTTAAACTAAACCAGGTCTCCAGAATTATACCTGGTCAGCGCACTGTAAGTTTATCCCAGTCAATCTTTTCTTTACTCTTGTTGTTACATGTGTCTGTTACTCATATCAAGCATTAAAGACTAAGCCTGCTTAAATTCAACTGATTCTCCGCAATAATGGTTGCAATGTTTTAAGGCTATTGCTTTTAAATATTGTTGAACGAGAGTTTTCTTTTCCTGAATTTCAAGGGGTGTGCTTGTATCTTTTACAAGGAAAATTCTAAATTTGTAAAGATTTTAATAACATGGTATGCTTGAGGTATATTATTGTGTAACCATCTCATCAGAATGCATAATTGTAGCTTACATGTTTTAGTTGCATGACTCGTCAGTTATAATAGATGGATCTAAGCAGCAGTTATTTTTATGAGTTGGAGTACTTTTATTCAAATAAAATATTTTAACCTGGATATGATTAATTGAGTTCCAATTTTAGTTCTAGCAATAAGAAATGCAAATTAGCAACTATTTGATGTTTTGAGTTTTACTGATTGTTTTTTTTCTTTTTTGCTCATTACAGCCAATATTTCAGAGGTATCCTCGACCTGAAAAAGAATACCAGTCGTTTTCCCTTATATATAATGAGAGATCACTTGATTTGGTAAGCACTCCATTTCTTTCAATGCCATAGAGTTGCACACTCGTGCCTAACTTCTAGTTTTTTTATTCTCCATGCATGCATAACATTGCATTGTAAATTAATTACCAAGTTTTTGTTGGATGAAAGTTTTTTATAGTCCATGATCCAACTTCTCTTTTGCACCAGATTTGCAAAGATAAAGATGAAGCAGAAGTATGGTTTACAGGTCTAAAGGCATTGATATCACGCGGCCATAATCGGAAAGGAAGACTTGAATCTAGAAGGGATGGAATTTCATCTGAAGCAACTAGTCCTAAAGAACATACCCGAAGAAGTTCACCTTTAAGCTCGCCATTTGGTAGTGGTGGTAGTTCACAGAAGGTTTCCCCCCTTCCATTTTCTATCGTGTACTTCTATCTTTTATATATTTAATGAGAGAATTCTCTTGTTCCTGATATAGGATGGGATGGATTCCCTTCGCCTTCACACTCCGCATGAGAATCCTCCTAGATCTGGTTTAGAGAAGGCATTGTCTGATGTAATATTGTATTCTGTGCCCCCCAAGGCGTTATATCCTTCAGAACCTGCTTGCAGTTCAACCCATTCTCTGTCGTCAGCAGGTTCAGATGGAACGGCTGGGTACATGAAAGGCTTGAATGGGGATGCTTACAGAGTTAGTTTATCTAGTGCTGTTAGTTCATCAAGTCAGGGGTCTGGTCACTATGAGGGTGATGCTTTAGGTGATGTTTTTATTTGGGGTGAGGGCACCGGTGATGGTGTGTTAGGTGGAAGAATACATAGAATTGGAAATTTTAGTGGTATTAAGATAGATGCTCTTCTGCCTAAAGCTTTG